GAGGGAGGGAGAGGTTTGAAGCAGGCTCCGTGCTGACAGCAGAGAGCCTGATGTGGGGCTTGAACTCACAAGCTGCGAGATCATAACCTGAGGTGGGTTTGGACGAGATCATAACCTGAGCTGAGGTTGGACGCCTAACTGACTGAGCCACCCAGGCGCTCCCCCCGCTGCCCCGCCCCAACCTTTTTTTAAAGTAAACTCTACCCAGCATGGGGCTCAAAACTCAAAACCCGGAGATTGAGAGTTGCATGTTTTACACACTGAGCCAGACAGTGCCCCTCAAGTGTTTCCTTTTATGACTTCTGGATTTTGAGTTACAAAGTTAGAAAGGTCTTTTCTAGAGAATCCCCGCCCCCAATTGTTCCTTTTCATACTTTATGGTTTTGGTTTTTGCATTCAGGTAAGCTTTCCTATTGATCAATACCATTTCTTAAAAACTCAGCTTTTCTTTTTTCTTTCTTTGTTTTTTTAATGTTTGTTTATCTTGAGAGAGAGCGTGCATGTGTGTGAGCTGGGGGAAGGACAGAGGTGGGAGAGAGAATCCCAAGCAGGCTCCATGCTGTCAGCACTGAGCCCGATGTGTAGCTTGATCTGAACACAGGACTGGGCTGGATCTCAGGAACTGTGAGGTCATAACCTGAGTGGAAATCAAGAGTTGGATGCTTAACTGGCTGAGCCTACCAGGTGCTCCAAAAATTTAAATTTTCCAACACTAATTTGATGTGTTGCCTTTTCAGGTCCTGAGTGTTTCTATTTGTGTTTGGGTCTGTTTCTGGGCCTTCTCTGGAGTGGTTTGATGATTCATGCCAGTGCCCATGATTTTTATTATTCGGTTTGTGTAATATTTTTTTAACATTTAGTAGGGTCGATTCTCCTCCACACTTCTGCTGTTTTTTTGAGCTTTCTTGACCATTCTTGTGTGTTTTTCCATTGAACAGAAGAGTCAGTTGTTGAGGTTCTAAAAGTAAAATCTGGTGATGATGTGAATTATAGTTGCATTAAATTTCTTTCTTTCTTTCTTTCTTTCTTTCTTTCTTTCTTT